TTCAGTGTTGCTCATGTGTGCAATGCAGTGACGTCAAATATATCATCATATTTTTAGTGTTTTTTCACTGGGGTTCTATGCTGTCAAGTCAAAACTGATGGTAGATGGCCCGCGGAGGGTTTTAGAGGGAATCAATCACAGGGGAGGAGATTGCCCATCTTTCTCTTTTCCCTTTCTTTTTAAATTAGTGGGTAAGAAATTGCTGAGGAAACTATGTTCCAGGAGCTGACAGGGTAGGTCCACAGTGGTGGGAGGAAAGGCAAAAAGTCCTGGTAACTTGTGCAAGGAAACCGACTCTTTTACGTTGAAAACCTCTACTGACCTTGATATAAAGGATACTACGCACTATGCAGAACTTCAGGAAAGCAGACACATTCAGTTTTGTTGTAGGCACTTAGCTCAGTTGTTAGGTTAGACGGTGGGGATAGAGCTTCTCACGTGTTAAAGACAGAAGTGGGGGGAGCAGAAGGAAGAGGAGGAGATGGAACAGATGGCAGAAACAGTAAGAAAGCCACCACCAAATGTGACTGGTACTCAATCACATGCCCTTATTGGCATCTTGTGACTCATGAATCCAGAGATTCATGTCTCCTTAGATTTCTGCAAACACAGAACAGGCAACTTGGGCTCTCACTGGTTCACACCAACAGGGCGTGGTTCAATGCCAGGGCGGTTATGTGACTTGCTTCTTTTCTGCTTTTTGTGCCCTTTCCTGTTTTTAGCCACTTCTGAAGTGGGTTTTGTTGTAGGCAAACCTGTGATATAGCTGCGTGAGCAACACAAAGATGCCACAGTAATCTAGACAGCAAGTAATGCGTCTGCAGGGATTTCAGGATTTCTACACCTGGATCTCGTCCTTAAAAGAAAAAAGAGTAAAAAAGTATTTGTTAGTGACGTGTTAGATAAGGGACTTATACCTAGAATTTATTAAATACTCGAGTACCACAACAAGATAAAGGGAAATAACCCAAATGAAAAATGGATACAGGTCATGAACAGACACTTCACCAAAGATGACTTTCAGATGGCCAACAAACACATGCAGAAATATTCAAAATCCCTAGCTCTAAGAGAGATGCATATCAAAACAACTATGAGATACCATCTCACCCCAGTAAAAATAGCAAAATTTAACAGAACAGCAAACATCAAATGCTGGCGAGGTTGAGGAAAAACTGGAACCCTTATTCACTGTTGGTGGGAGTGTAAAATGGTGCAACCACTATCAAAGGCAGTATGGCACTTTCTCAAAGAGTTGCAAATAGTGTCACCCAGCAATTCCACTACTGGGAATATAACCCAAAGAAACCATAACCACCACCAAAGCAGATATACGCACACCCATGTTTACCACGGCTTTGTTCACAATAGCAAAGAGTTGGAAACAACCCAAGTGCCCATCAACAAATGAATGGATAGAGAAGCTGTGGTATATTCACACAGTGGAATACTACGCTGCATTGAAAAACTCATGAAATATTATTCAAAATGGGTGACTCTGGAGGACATTATGAAATATCTCAGTCACAAAAGGACAAATACTGCATAGTGCCACTGTTGTAAAATGGGACTGACATTGGGGTTAGGGGGAGACTAAGAAAGATGGGATAAATAATGTATACTGCATTGAAACAGATGAGGGAAAGAATTGTTTAAAAGGGATACGTGATTAGGTATTTTTGTCATGACAGGAGTCCAGAATGAAGGCTGCTTAGTGCAGTGGCCTTGGGGAAAGGGATTGTATAACAATGAAAGAATTTTTCTTATACTTTTCAAAAAGAAGAGAACTGGGGGGAAGTTTGGGTAGGGAGAAAAGTACAACAATGAGTGAATAGAATCTACTGTCTCTGTAAACTTTCATTGAAATTAACAAAAAATTATAAAAAGGTAAAAAAAAAAGATTCAATTTTTACTTTTTTGTCCTGAAGGGCTTTTTTATTTGAAAAAGCTATTATTCTGTATTTCTTTCTACATTCTTGAAGACTTTTTCTCATTTTCCTGATGTTGTCGAGTAATATCAACCCTCAGGGACTCCATATTTATTATTTCCCCTACAAAAAGAGACAAGCTCTTCTGTGATGTTTCCTTAGAGACCACAGACCACACAGCCTCAGCTAAAGCAGCATCTCATCGAAAACTCTCTTCAGTATTGATAGCAACCAGTCCATCCCTCCAATCACTATTTGTCACATCACTCTGTTTTGGGGGCTGTTTTCTTGCTCTTGGTAGAAATTACTATTTTCTAGCACACTCATTTATTTGCGGGTGGATTTGTCCACTCCTTAATTAGAAGTTTAGCCTCCAAAGAGGCAGAAGCTTTTCAACCATGTTCTTATAACTGAGTCTAGAGGGTACAGCAGAAGGTAAGAATATAGGTGAGCCCCCTGAGATATGTGTTTAAGAAAAATATCTGTAGGCTTGGTAAACTGACAGGTTCTATACATGGACTTCATAATCCTTACACAACTCAATATAATAACATCAGTAGTTATTTTGTGAAGTGGATATAGGAAACTCAGAGACACCAGAAATATCCCTTGCTCAGAGGTATTTCAGAACTCTTCTATTCAGTGTTCAAATCCACAACACCATGATCCAAATTCATTACAATTCAGTATTGCCTCTCCTAAGGAACAAATGACTGTATTATGTTTAAAATGGCAATTGTTGTTATGTGCCATGTATCAGAACTGATTAATATCTGACCCTCCAGTGGGTTCTCAAGAGGAGGTTTCATATTTTTCTCCCACGGGGAAGCTGGTGGATTTGAAACATATATCTTTCGGCTGGCAACACCACTCCTTCCCACCAGTCCACCAGAGCTCCTTGTCCTTTAAATTGTCATCGTTGTTGTTGTTATGTACCAACAAGTTGACTACAACTCATAGCGACCTTATAAACAATTGCTATAAACCCTGCCTTGGCCTGTGCCATCCTCATAAACTGACATGTCCATTAAATGATCATTATTGTTGTTATTGTGTGCTGTCGATAAGGAACTGGCACTTAGTTGACCCTCCAGTGGGTTTTCAGAGATAGTAAGTCACACAGGAGGAGATAGCCTACCTTTCTCCCGTGGAGCGGTTGGTAGATTCTAACCATGTGCCTTTGGGATTGCAGCACAGCTTCTTACCACTAGGCCACCAGAGCTCCCTAAATGATATTAAAATCCATGAACCTCAAATTATTGTAAGGTTATATTATCCTTTAAGTCGTTGTTAGGTGCCACTGAGTCGAATATGATTCATAGCAATCCTATCCATGAACAACAGGTCTGAATCTTGTCCTTTCCTGTGCCACCCTCCCAAGCTCTGATGCGTTGGAGCCCATTGCTGCAGTCACTGGGCCAATCTCTTTGGCTGAAAGGTTTTCTCTCTGTCACCATCCTTCCACCATTCCAACCATTAAATCTCTCTCTATAATAAATAGCTTCTCCTTGCAATGTGCCCGAAGTATGTGAGATCTTTAAAGGATCTTTTAATAATCAATGGATAAGGATGAAATGGTTTTTGCAATCACTTGTTATGCATCAGAGAGTTGGACAATGACTAGGGAGGATAGAAGGAGAATTGACGCCTTTGAGCTGTGGTGCTGGAGAAGA